GGTTATTTTCTAATTTTTCTGTGCATGTGGAGAAGTGAGACAATAAAATGGACCCTTCAACCCACCCAGCTGTGCCGGGCGCAGCCCTGTCCTGGCTGGTACCCGAGTGCCAAGGGCTCGTGCTGCCCAGCCTGGGCCTGCCCTGCTGCTGCGCCGAACCCCAGGCCACGAGAGGGGAGACCTAGTGGGGCTGGGGCACAGGGTGGCCATTGGCCCTGCAGGGGCTGGAGTTCCCAGCTGGCGGTAAGGGGGGCTGCTGGAGGTGGGAACGGCGGTTCTGGGCCCCCCAAGCCACGCACCACAGGACACCGTGCTGAGCTGCTTGTTTATTTCCCTGGCCCTGGCTGGTCCAAGGGCAGTTACAGCCTTGTCTCCCCTCCCTCAGGCGCAGGCTTTAGGCACTGGTGCCCCAGCCCAGGCCTGTGCCCACCCGCAGGGCATCCCTGCTCAGCCCCTGGGGCCAGGACAGCAGCCCAAGCCCAGCTGGCAGTAAGGCAAAGGGCAGCAGCTCAGCCATGGCTGCTGTGCGCCAGGCCAGCACAGGAGGGACTCGGGCCGGTGGGCTCCACCAGCATGGCCCCGTCCTTGAGCCCTGCCCTGCAGCCCAAAGGGCCCAGGCTGGCCCTAGAGCAGAACCCTGAGCTCTGTGGGAGCAGGTAGAGATGGCCTGGGCCTGGCTACCCTGCCAGGACAGAACAGCCGGGGCCTGGCTCCTGCTGGGGGAGGCTGCAGGCTCAGAGCCCCTGCCCTGGGGGCTCTTAGGCCGCCCCTGTCTTCTCAAAGTCCAGGATGAGGCCCTTGATGTGGGACAGCTTTTGGTGAAGATACTCGCAGCGGTCCTTCTCCTTCCTGTAGCTGGGGTAGGTCTGCAAGAGAGCCCAGGTCAGCGCAGGCCAGGGAACCCGGCCCCGTCCCCCCACGCGCCCAGCCCCCAGCCTCACCTGCTTGAGCCGCTGGTATTCCTGCAAGATTCGCTCCTCCACCACCTGCAGAGCAAGACAGCAGACTCAGCACAGGCCCCAGGGCTGCGGCCCCTGCCCTGCCCAGCCCAGCGCCGCCCCCTCACCTTGCGCTCTGGCGACCCAGGGGGCAGCCCTTTGATTTTGGCTCCCAGGTGGACGAAGGTCCTGCTGACGTGCCCGACCCGGGCGTGGAGGCGCCGGTACTCAGCGTAATCCGCACTGAAGGCCTCGGCGTAGGCCTGCTGCTGCTCCACGGAGCAGATGGCTCTGTACGTCCTACCCCATGGGAGAAGCCACTGAGCAGCAGGGCACATGCCAGAGGGCCCAGGCCAGCGCGGTCGCTGCCCCACACCCAAGCAGCGAGCTCAGGCCAGGCTGCTGCATCGCCACTGGTGGGACTCCAGTTCCACCCCCAGGCCAGAGTGGGGGTAGGGCTGTGCAGGAGTGGCAGCTCATGCTTCAGGGAGGCAGGGGGGCCTGGCAGGGGGCTGCTGTCTGGGGTGGAAGCATCATTAGGTACATGAAGGTAGAAACTCGCCAGTGAATTTCCCTTCTAGCTCCAGCCTCTGCCTGCGAAGCCACGTGCCCCACACGGGGCCTGGTGGGGCAGGGTAGTGGGGCTGGCCATGACCCGCTCCCACCGCGCACAGCCCAGGACAGGAGCTGTCCAGGCAGGGGCCAGTCACCCCTCTCCCCAGTGGGCAGGGGGCAGAGAACTAGAGCCCCTCCCCCTGCCAGGGCACCCCCTGCTGGCCATGGAGTGAGAGACTGCCCCTTGGCCTCTAGCTGCTGCTTTGGGGCCACAGCCTCTTCCCCCCCACCTCTGGCTGACATGAACCTCACTTGTCACCCCCCAACCCTGGGGGTGGGGGGCCGGGAGCAGCGCAGCCCCTCACCTGGCAGGGCAGAGAGGTGCTGCTCCAGGCGTAGAGCTGCCTCCTCCCACTCGTCACCCCCTTCCCCTTCACTCGGCTCCTCCTCGGAGCTCAGCAGCTCAGGCTCCAGGGGGCAGGGCTGCTTCAGCCCCCTTGCGTCCGCGGCACCCAGCACGGCCAGGCGCTGCTGAAAGACAAACCCAGCTGCAGGGCCTGCCCAGAGCCCCCCAACGCAGGCCCCAGCCCAGAACGGGGGCCCACCTCCCCCCCAGCGCTGGCCTGGGCGCTCACCCCTGCTCTAGGCCGGCCGGCCTTTCCTCCCACCCTGTTTCCAGGCAGGGTCAGTGGCTCTCAGCCCGAGCCTGGCCCCAGGGCAGGCAGGAGGGTGGCGGGGGTGTTGAGTCGCCCCCCCTTCCACCCCGGGCCCCTGCCGTTATGCAAATCTGCACCTGGGCTAATGAGTCTGCTCGCAGGGCGGATGTTCAGCCTTGGCAGGGTCAGGTGGGGGGTGGCCGTGGGCCCGGGCCCAGGGGGGGCCGCCCGCCGGCTCTCTGGCACGAGGGGCACTCCAGAGGCGCCAGGAAGGGCCTGGCCTCGGCTCTGCGGGCCCGTCTCCTGCAGCAGGGGAGAGGGGAGGGGCTCCGGGGGGCCCCCGGCCAA